TTTTTTTTTTTTTTTTTTTTTTAAAGATGACCGGTAAGGGGATCTTAACCCTTGACTTGGTGCTGTCAGCACCACGCTCAGCCAGTGAGCAAACCGGCCATCCCTATATGGAATCCGAACCCGTGGCCTTGGTGTTTTCAGCACCGCACTTTCCCAAGTGAGCCATGGGCCGGCCCTCACCTCCCCATTTTTCTGATGACCTGAAGACAGGAAGCCCATTGACTGTTCTCACATCAAAGGTGCTACTGCCAATCTCTTTGGAGATGCAGATGGGCAGAGACAACACATAACAAAGGACAAAGGTACTAGAATCTCACAGAGTTCTTAACTTTGTTCTAGACCAATGCTGTCCAATAGGTCTTTCTGTGATGAAGGAAATGTTCTATACCTGCTCTGTCCACTAGCCACATGTGGCTACTGAGCACTTGAAATGTGGTTAGTGCAACTGAGGAACCATTTTTTTTTTTTTTTTTTTTAATGCGGCTGGCTGGTAAGGGGATCTGAACCCTTGACCTTGGTGTTATCAGCACTGCACTCTAACAGACTGAGCTAAATGGCCAGCCCCTAGAACTGAATTTTTAATTTCATTAAATTTAAGTAGCCATGTGGGTAGTGGTTACCGTAGTCACTTGTCAGCAGTGCAGGACAAGACTTTCAGGAGTGGATATCCTGGTGGGGATAAAGTGAAGACAATGTAGTAAATACAGGCCCAGAAGGAAGCACTGAGTGTGTGGGAGCACAAAGAAAGGAAAAACCCAACTTGGGGTGGGTGGGTGGGTGGGGTCAGGGAAGGTTTTCTGGAACTGCCCCTTTAGCTGTCTTGAAGGGTGAGTAGGAATTAGCTTGGTAAAGGAGGACATTTGTCAGAGGGAGCAGCACACGCAAAGGCCTGGAGGGGTGAGAGAAAATGTGTTGGTGACATGGTGAGAAAGAAGTGGGAGAGGGCAGATTGCAGGGTGGGCACAGCAGATACTGACGGTTGGAGATTAGCAGCCTCTACTGCAGATCCCCGTGTCTCTGTTGCCAGTGGGTTTTCTCACCCCAGCCTCAGCAGCAGCTAAAGACGAGGCAACACATTGGGCTATCTAGTGTCTCCACTGTATAATTTTTCCCTTCGTAATCAATGAGTATCTTGTGGAGAGATGCATTGAGATTATGTAAATATCCTGTTACTCCTCAAACTTTCACCCAGCAGTTTTAACATTCACTGATGATTCTCACCTGAAACAATTATGGTCAAGGTAGGCAAATGGTGATTTTCAAATGCCATCATTCTTTTGAAATGTATTAGTTGGCTTTCCACTATGAGAGTTTTCCCTTTTCTTACATGTATTTATTTATATCCTCACGGACTCACGGTTGTCTATTTTACTCAATGTGTTATATATAACCCATTAACATCATTCTTTATTTTGATGTTCAAAGTGCCCCAGATTTAGCCAGCAGGAAGCTCTCCAAGCTGGCTCCTGTGTCCTTTGGCATGTCTCCATCTTTCTTTGAGCACTTGTTTTCTGGCATCACAAGATGCTCCAGGCTCATGTTACACATTCCCTATCCCAGCCCTGGAATCAGACATTTTTTCCAAGGAGCCCAGATTCTTTTTAGTAGAGAATGGCATTTATAAAACGAGATTTGGGCACTTGGTGTTATGGCTGTATTTTAAAAGTTTGCTCTTTTATTTGGAAAAAGTTTGAGCATCCATTGATGATTTTCTAACACCATCATTCCTTCTATATTTATTATTTAGCATTATACTTTAAGGAAGAGTTTTCCCTTTTCCCTCATTTTTTTTTTTTTTTTGTCTTTTTGTCTTTTTCCGTGTCCGGCAACGGATCGCAACCCTCAGTGTTGCCCCCGTACCGGACCGGGGACCGGCAACGGGATTGCAACCCTCGGTGTTGCCCCCGCGCCTCGCTCAGCCAGTGAGCGGGAACCGGTCTGTATGTGGGATCCGAACCCTTGGGCGGGAGCGCCGTCGCGCTTCCCAAGCGGCGCACTTATCCAGTGCGCCACCGGGCCGGCCCCTTTTCCCTCATTTTATTTACATATATTAATGTGGAGTCATGCATTTTTAATCAATGAGTTATTATCTACTGCTATCAATTCATTTTAAATTATCCTTATTTGAATATATCATTTTATTATGTATTTATATTAAGCATATGTTATACATCTATATTTCTCTCTGTTTTTGTCTATGTATCTATGCATCTATCTGTCTATATAATAAACCATGAGTTCGCACAGATACCTTGAGGAGACTCTTATAATAGTGCAGGCTAGAGACAGTAAATGGCTCACAAGAAGAATAGAAAATGGTAAGGGAGGAGGGGATGGATTCCAGAGCTATTTAGGAGTTATAACTGGCAGCTCATACCTACTTCAGAACTGGAAGAGACCCTATTTTACAAATCAAAAAAAAAAGTGAGGCACAAAATCACTCTCATCCAGTTCACCCACAAAACACGGATGGAGTGAGTGTGGTTGCGAGTCCAGCCAAGCCTTCCAATCGCTACTCTGTGCTCACTTTGTGCCAGAGCCTCTCTCACAGGTGGGTGGGTGAAGCTAAGCCAGCCCCCAGCCCAGGATGAGCTCTCTGATGCTTACTAATTCTTAATCCTGCAGTGCTCACATTCTGGTTGGTCCCAGCAAGACACAAGGCTTGAGAAAGGAACCTGTTTCCTGAACACCTTACTGTGTGGGGAGCACAATCTGAGACTTTTATAGGCAGAATTCCACAGTAGTTAGACAGACCTGGGTTTGAGTCTGGCTCTGCCACTTACTAGCCATGTGAATTGGGTAAGTTTACACTTCCCTGGACTTTGGTTTCCTCATCTGTAAGACAGGGATAACAATACCTACTTCATAGCACCTCGCCCTTGATGAATGGTAGCCATCATTATCTCTAATCTTCCTAACAACACTGTAAGGAAGGGATTATTTAGCCTTATTTTGTAAATGAGAAGCTCAAGGCTCAGGGAGGTGAGGTACTTGTCAAATTTCAGTGGGTGAATGTCAGCTGCAGGAAAGCGGAGACCACATGTTTGTCTTGATTACTGTTACATTCGCAGGGCCCAGAAAAGTGCCTGGTGCATAGTAGCAATTTAATGAATGTTTGTGAATGAATGAATTCAATCTCATTGGCTTTGAAGACTCTATGCAATTTCCATTTGCCTTTCCAGAATAGGGGTGTGTCTGGGCTAAGAACCTCAGAGAAGGCTGTAGGAAGCCTGAGACCCAAAACCTGGTCTCCTGACTCCTGATTGATGCTCTTTGTCCTTCACCAAGCTGCCTCCAAATGGAAAGGCTGAACTTCCTTCAGCCTTAGATTTGGCATATTCTCCTACCTTCTTCATTCTCCCCATCCTCCTGCCCAGTTTTATTCCTGGTGAGGGCAAGCGACAGGAAGAGCATTTGACAAGGAGTTAGCAACTTCCTTTGTTACAATGGGCAAGTTATTTAATCTTTCTGGAATTTGGTTCCTCTGCATCTAAAGAATGGGTAAATTGACCTACATCTTTCCCAAGACTGCTACAAAAATTAAGGGAAATAACTGGTATGAAAGAGCCATGTGGGCTGTTGATACTTATCCATGTGATAGGCTAGTGATATTACAGTGATTAGTATCACCTTACCTAGCTTTCTGTTTCCTGCCCAGACAGTTGTTCAGTTGGATCATTCACCTGGTGGGAGGGTCTGAGGTTTCCCCTGACATACAGAAAACTAAAAAGGAGATATCACTTATTATATTACTGTATTACAAGTTCCCTCCAAGCCAAGTGGCAATAAGATTCTGAACACTTGAGGTAATAATAAAGGATTTAGGTGATAGAAACATGAAAGCACTAGTTCAATGCCCAGCACAAAGGAGATTCTTAATGAATTTTGACATATTGGTTGTTGACTCTCAGAAATAAAAATAACAGTTACCAGACACTGAGGCCCTGCTATGTGCTAGGTCCTGTACAACAATCTTGCAAGGTAGGTATTATCATTCCCATTTCAGTTTCAGAAGTTGGGACTTGACCAAGGTCACATAACTAGAAAATGGCAGAGTTGGTGGGAGTGGCCTGTATGACCCCAGGGTTTGAGCTCCTGCTTGTGTGTCCTGTTCCCTTAGCTAGGATGTCCTTAGTCCAGTCTTGAAGTAGGCAGAATGTACCTAATTGGCACATAGTACGCGATTAGGAACAGTTAACTGGGTGAAGGAATGACACTCCCCACTCCTCTCAAACACATTTGAGCTTTTAGATGCTTAATATACACAGGAAATGTCTGCAAAGAGTATACATTTATTTTCAGTCAATATATATTAAGGCTGCTAAAAATATATACATTCATTCACCTTTTCTTTTGTTCACTCGACATTCATTTACTGCTCACCATGCTAAGTGCTAAGAATGTATAAGGCCACACGGTCCCTGCCCTTAAGTAATTCATAGTCTGGTGGAAGAACACAAAATAAGCACTTTATCAGCATTTATGCAAGTACTGAAATATGTACACAGGAGGTGTTCAAACTATAGGCAGTAGGCCCACAGCTGGTGAATAATAGAGATGATCCCCAAATGCCATAGATGCCTGATGAAAGTGGACAAAGTACTGGTTTGATACTCAAAGTAGTTGCAATGAACCTATTCAGAAACCGCTCAAGGAGCATGCACACAATTGGAATAGATGTACACACAGTAGGTACGTAAATGCATATGACAGGGGCTATACATAATAAATACAATGTACACAGGTGTTTGATAAATACACTGTTGGCTCACAAATGGGCAAACAGTAGGTGTTCTACACAGTAGGCACTGGTAGGCGATGGATAATTATGCTGTTGATAAACATCCCATAGTTAAAATATATATACATTCAGGCTTATTTTGTAGGAGTACATGCCACAAATGTGTACACAGTAAAAGGGCAAACAGAACAGTTGAAAGCATTCATTAAAATGCTGGATGCCAATGACTCTTTGGTGTTAAGAATGGAAACCCCCATCTCTGAGAGGCCTCTACGTAACCTTGGACGAAAAAAATATTTCCTTCCTGTACTTGGGACCCAGGATTCTAAAAATCCATAATCCCCGGGGAGTGAGCAGCCTCCTGCTTGCCTTCTTTCAAAGCCCCAGACATGTCAGGGACTACAGCTGGGAGCCTAGTATGTCTACCCCAACCTGTGGGCCAGCCAAGGGGTCCTTCGCAATCAGGCACCCGAAGCCGCCTTCCGTGACCCACACAGGAAAGACCAGGCAGAAGGGACAGAGAACGTTGGGGCGGGACTAGCGACCTGGCTGAGGTCTGCGACGGGGTACCACTTTGGGCCCACCAACGCCGGCTCCTCTTCCGGTCTGTCTCCGTAACGCGCATGCGCACAACTGGGCTTTAAACGTGCACCGCCGGCCCATCCGGAAAGAGGTTCCGGCAAACTAATTACAACCTTGCCCCTCCGCCGCTGAGGTGGACTATTTTCTCTCAGTCGGGGAGGTATTTTTGAGTAATCGCTTCCAAACAGGGGACCCATGCCAGCCGATTTAGCTTGACCCCATGGGATGAAGGCTTCTTAGGGCTTGGTCTGATGCAAGGTATATGAGGTTCGGGGAGACACCCCGCGGAGGGATCCGGTTTGTTGTGGTGAGGGAGGGGGAGACGCTGACAAACCAAGATGGCGGCGGCGGCGGTGAAGGCCGTGGCGTTTGGGAGGTAACTGTGGTGGCGAACGTTGTGGTAGTTGGGAGGCAGCTGCAGAGTTTGGAAGGAACAGAGCAGGACGAAGAGGCGGTAGCAGTAGCGTCAGCCTGAGACTCTCAGAGCGCGGCAGCCACACGCCCCCTTAGGTCCTTGGCGGGCGGCGGCCGCCCGGCTCTGGGCCTAGTCTCCGAGCAGTGCCTCGGCTTCAGACGGCGGCGGCGCCATGAGTCCTTAAGGGCGGTCCGAACCCTCCTGATCCCAGGCCCAGTCCCCGGGCCCATCATGGAGCCGGGGTCCGACGACTTCCTACCGCCGCCGGAGTGCCCGGTCTTCGAGCCTAGCTGGGCCGAGTTCCGAGACCCTCTTGGCTACATAGCGAAAATCAGGCCCATCGCCGAGAAGTCGGGCATTTGCAAGATCCGCCCACCCGCGGTAAGTCTCGGGGCCGGTGGTCGCCGTCGGCGAGGCCGGGAATGAAGGCGTAGGGTAGTCGGCGAAGTGTGGGGCGGGGGGCAGCTCGAGGTGTAGGGAGGTGGGTGGTTGGGACAGTTGTTGATGCGGCGCAGGTCGGAGAAAGGGTGCTGAGGCCGGGGGTCCTCTCTTGAAGCCCACAAGTGACCTGGGGCCAAAGACCCACACCCACCCTGTTGTTCAGAATCACTCCTAGTTCAAGACGGGGATTCCTAGTGGGCCGAGGAGAATTCATAGAGAGGCACCCCGCACATCTCTTAGTTACCCTGAACCACCTGGGTTAAGGCTGTGCTAAATAAAGTCCTTTCTCCTATCTACTGTCATCACTTGCCTTAAGGCAGATAGCGTGGCATAGTGGAAAGATCATAGCTCTGAAAGGAGACAGACCTGAGTTCAAAACTCTACTTTGAACTTTAGCAGCTGTGTGACCTTGGGCAAGTAACAATCTCTCTGAGCCTGTGAAATGGGTCACAGGAATGGTTATTTCGAGGACTGGATTAAATTGGGTAGCGTCTATATGTAGTAGGCACTAGATAAGTGGCAATTATTGTCACTGTGAAGGTGTTTGATGTGGTCATTAGTTTGCCCCCATGTGGATTGACTCATATTTACTCACACCCTGCCAGGCCAGTTCATCTATGATAATATACTGGCCTGGTGGACCGGTCGGGAAATCAGTCTCACAGGGAATGCTCTGTCTGGCTCCCCTGAGATGGGCTCAGGGTATTTCCTTTTCTTTTCCTAGTTGAAGGCAATTTCAGGGCCTTTCCTGCACATCACCCCCCAGACTTGACTGTCTATGGAGAGGCCTGGACCACTCAGCCCGGTAGTGGGGTGTGAGTTTTCTCAGATTTCTACTTTCTCTGGCCCAGGAGATAGGAGGTCCCAGAAGATAGAGCATTCTTGTGGTGCCCAGAAACAGAATGGAGCTGTGGAAGTCTGCTCCCTTTGGAACACTTGATTCTCAGAGATCAGCAACAAAGGCCATATCTTTCCTTCTAGGCCTGGCTTTAGGCCAGAAGACCCCCAAAGGGCTAGGACAGGCTGCTGCCTTGCGGGCATGGAGGAGAAATGGTGATATATATTGCCCAGTGACCACTTGGGATTCCAAGGGTAGGAATTGAGTTTGGCTGGAACAGAGTGTTTTTGAGTGGGTGTCTCCTGGCTGAAACAGAATGGGAAGCCTCGTTCCCACCTGAGGAGGGCACCACAGGCCTCCTTATCCAACTTGGTGCCTTCTGGTGCTCAGCCACAGATATAGGCTGGTTTCAAATAGATCCTCTGGGAGGTGTTGGGTAAGCTGATTTCTTCCTTCTTGGAGCCTGGCCACAGATTTCTGAGGTATCCCTGTCCATGATGAGGGAGTGGCAGTGGGTAGTGAGAGGTCAGGAAGGAGAGCAGAAGGAAGAGGCTGGAGCCCTGGGCAGCCTCATAGAAGTACCCCCTGAAGTAGCCTGGCAGGACTGTGGGAAGGAGGCATATCTGACAGGGGTAGCTGAGGCCTGAATTTCTTTTTTTCTTTCTTGGACTCACTTGGGCAGTCTGGTCTTGCGCAGGTGTTGTTACCCTGCTTTGGGGGACCAAGAGAGGGAAGAGTGACATGTCCCAGGTGTGTGTGTGTGGCCAGGAGGGGGCTGTCCTTTGTTATGCCTTTTTTCTCTACCCCAATGGTGTACCTCCCTCCAATCCAAGAGACCTAGCTCTCTCTGGTTTTGTTTTGTTTTTTCCTCCACTAGGGCTGCTCCTGGGCCACTTTTAGGCAGCTGGCCTTCTTATTGGTGTTTGAAGTACTCACCCAAGCATACCCAGGGTGGGAACTTGTGTATGTGTGGGTGCCTGGGAATTGGGAGGTTTGCCTGAGGAAGGGTGGTTTGGGGTATGAATTGCCAGGCAGGTGGTACTACACTTGGGAAAGGTGGATGAGAGGAGATCGTTGGTACCCTGGAGTAGACCCAGGGGAGCTCGGAAGGATCTAGCTTCCTGCACCAGGTAGCCATTCTTTTTATTACCACATCCGACATACTGAGCATTTGGCATACAGTAGTTTGGAACTAAAGGCAGGAGGTTTGTTGGACCTTCCCCAGCTATGTGTTGTACCTACGGCTTCTGCTCTAGGACTCCAGTTCTGCCATTTCCTGTCAGGTGCTTGATGTTGCACTGATTCTTGTCTAGAACCTGATTCAGCAGGAAAGAAGAGGGCCTGTAGTTTTGGGTTTGAGCACCTTTCTACCTGGGTTACCTGTGCTGAGGGGAGTGCCCTACTCTTATGGGAGAAGGAGGGCATGGGGAGCTTGTCTGAGCATGAGCCATGCCATTTTAGCCTACGTTTCTTTTTTCCTCCTGCTTCACAGAGCCCCAGGTGTTTGTTACTTGTTTCAGCTGGGGGTGGGGGGGAGGGTATTAGAGTATGTGCGCATGCAAGTATGAGTCCTCTGGCCCCTTTTCTAAAAGTGTATGTGCAAAAGAGGTCAACAGCTTGTTCTTTTACTGCCCCCCTCCCCCCTTCCATATGTATGCATGTGTATATGAACACTGGTAGCCCAGTGTAGTGCAAAGAGCCTTGGACTGGAGTTCAGAAGACATGGGTTCTAGTCTTGGCTCTACCACTAACTCAGCATGTGATTTTGGAGAAATCACATTTCTTCTCTGGGCCTCTCTTTCCTCATTTGTAGAATGAAGGCATTGGTCTAGGTTGCTCTGGGGAGGAGAGGACTGTGTGGGAGGCTGGAGAGGGGTGTTGGGGAGGGGGTTCTTCACAGCCATTTGTTGGGCAGGACAGAACAAGCTCCAACTCGGCAGGGCATCCCCCGCTTGGATTATCTTTCCCTGACTTCCCTCCCCCTCCCCAAATCCTTCCATTCTTTGCCACCACAGTCGGGCATCCCAGCACTTATCCCCCCGGGGCTTCCTCCCCTGCCTCTTCCTGTACCTGGCAGGTGTATGAGAGAGGACCCGCAGGAAGCCTTCCAGACCGGGTGAGTGATGCAGATTCTTGCTCCCTGTACCTTGCTCTTCCCTGCAGTGTCTGTCTCAGGCCCTTTAAACTGAGAGAACAGACATTAAAGGCCCAAACCTTTAAATCCTGCCAGAATTGGAGCTGAGCTACTCTGCATGTGTACTGGGCAATGCGGTCAGCCTTAGATGTCAAGTCTTAATGATGACTCCTTTGAATAACATTTTCATTTGCAAACCAGTTTAATTTTCCATATTGGTCTTGTGAGGAAGCCAGGGTGAGTGTTTATATTCTCACCTTGCAGATGAGAAAATAGGGTCAGAAAGGTAAAATTCCATAGCTAGTAAGTAGTGGAACTAGAACATGAACCCAGGTCTTCTGACTCCAGATTCTGTGTGCTTTCCAGTACTCCCAGACTGTGTGTCCTACAGCACATGCCTAAGGGACGAGGGGTTAATATGGGTGTGGGGAGGGTTTGGGGTCAACTGTTTTGGTCTCCATCTCTCTATTTCTTGAAATCCTGGCACTGTACTGTTGGGAGGGACTCAGGGGAAATTTCCCAGGACATGTGCATGGGGCCTTGGATTTGGACTTGAGGGGCTTCTAGGCCCTGTTGTGAGTTCTGAGGGGTGGTGGGGTGAGTGGGTTGATTGTTGGCCAGATTAAAGGGTCTGGGGTGGCTAGAGATCTGGGAACTGTGTAAATGGGGTTCTGAGCTGCTTTTGGTGCCCTCTGGTCTTGCATCATGCTGGGTTAACCCAAGTTCCTTTCTCTTCTCTACCCTCTCAGGACTGGCAGCCACCCTTTGCTGTGGAAGTGGACAACTTCAGATTTACCCCTCGAATCCAGAGGCTGAATGAGCTAGAGGTGAGAAGACTAGCAGCTGGTGGTGGGGTTGAGAGAATGGATAGCTGAGTTCTGATTCCACTTCCCTCATACCTTCTCTGGCTAAGGTACTTTACCTAACTAGGCCTTTTATTATCTCTCTTTATTGTGTCTCTTTAGTGTGCCCAGGGCATGGTGGAAGCTTTAGAACTCTGAATGTAACCAAGAGCAGGGGCATTTAGCCTTTCTGATTTGATAACCCCAAAGGCTGAGGATGTTCCTTTCCCACAAAGGTTTGCTACTTCTGAAGCTCCCCCTGTCAACTAACCTACCCTACCTGGGTCAACAAAAGGGAGATATAGGACTGGCTGAGACCCTTTCTTTCTTGGCCAGTGGAATGTGGCCTCATTTATCCAATTCATC